AAGGAGTAATGTTCACCCAATTGGTCTTAGGTGAATCAGAGGGGAAAAAAAGAAATGATCAGTAAATATATTAGTAAGATACTAAAGACTTCCAAAATATTTACATATCCAATTTCATATCTGTTTCTAATAACAATTTTGTGAGAAAGTATTATTATACACATTTTACAGTGAGGAAAGTGTCAAGACTTATATTCCATCTTCACATGGAATCAAATTTCCTTAATTTTGTTCTTGTCCCATTTCCTCAAGATCTAGCTGAAATGTCACCTGCCCAAATATCTTCTCCTTCTCTCCCCACAATCGTAATATCATTTTCTTCCTTTTCTCTAAACCCACACCATATTTTATACACACCCCTATAGATTCTTAGCATAGCACTGCTTATATTGTATCTGGCTGTATTTTGTGTTTCACTTTAGCCTCAAAAAGTAAACATTTAAAGATACAATGCAGATCAAATTTATATTTATCACCCAAGGACCTAGCACAAAATTATATGCATAATAAAAATTTACTTAATGGAAGCCACTTCTAAGATTTAGTCCAATCTCTTCAATATACTATAATGGACAAGTCAAAATAAGAGAAGTTATTCAGATCTGCCAAAGGAGCATACTACTCCTGCTTCTTTATTCTCCCTTCCCCTATCTCTTCCCATATGCTAATTTTAAGAGATACAGTAAACCTGCAGTCCTGAGGTCTCTGGCTCCTTGTGTAAATATCCTAGTCTTTTTTCTGCATAGATGAGAACAGGAATATGAACTATGTTACAGTGTCAATTTCCAGCAGTGCTTAACACCTAACAAGTTCAACCTTTGACAATGTAAAAAAAAATAATGAGTTAAAGTTGCAGAAACATGATGCTGCAGAGTCCTAACAACCAACAATCCTTAAATCTAATATGTAAACAGAATTAAACAGAAAAATTCTGAACCTTTCAGCTTCTCCATTTTGTTGACTTTATATCTATCTTTATATTCTGGCTTTATATCCTTAAGGCAGATGAGCCTTGAGTAGAAATATTTACATAATGACATTTCAGTTACTTATTTCATTCATTTGCTTCCCAAAACTAATCAACTACCTTACCAATGCTAAGGCTTGAATGCATCTTTGCTTGGGATCAGTTACAGTACCCGATGAAGGAGGGTGAAGAATGTTTGCCACCTTTAAAAGGTGAAGGAACCCTGGTTTCTCAATTTGGTAACTATTTCGTCCAGAAAATTTAGTTTCTAATGCTTATCATGAGATAAAAATTTTTCCAATGTTTATTTGGCTCCTAAACAAACAAAAAAAAAATGTATCAGCCACTTTTTTCTTTTGTCATGGCACTGCCTTAATGAAGAAAGTGGAATCAGAAAGACAATAGAGAAGATATTCTAATTTTAGGAACTATGAGTTATTTGTCAGTCTTGAACCAGGCCACTTTCTAATTGTGATTGACTCCTGAGGGCCTGTAAAATCTAATATTCTGAGAGAGCCAGTTACATTCATTGTGTTACCCTGGGGCCACTTAGGATGAGGGCTACTAGATGAAAGGTTCCAGCATAGGTAATTGACAGAAGAAATGGACAAAAGTCCTAAGAAAAAAGGATCAAAAGGACAAAAAGAATCTATAGAACAAAATAGAAATACACATTAAAAAGTGCTATCTTTACTTATCATCAGAGAAACACAAATCAAATCCACAATGAGATACCACCTCACACCTATGTGAGATGCATTCTCACACATGAGAATGGCTTGTTTCAAAAAGACCAGAAACAACAAATGTTAGTGAGGATGTGAAGAAGAAGTAAACCTATGTAAGAAGGTTTCCTTCCTACACTGTTAGTGGGGCCTTTGACTCTTGGTGGGAAAATATTATAGAGGTTTCTTGAAAGAGTAAATGGATCGACCATTTGCCCCAGCATTTTTACTCCCAGGTATCTGCCTGAAGAATACAAAAACACTAATTTGAAGGGATATATGTACTCCTATGATCATTGTAGCACTATTTTCAATAGCCAAGCTATGGGAACAACCTTATTGCCCAAAAACAGATCAGTGGATTAAGAATCTGTGGTATACATACACAATGTTATACTATTCATATATGAAAAAAATAAACTCGTGCCATTTATGGCAAGAGGGATGGAACTGGAGGGGATTAGGCTATGTGAAATAAGACAGAAGGAAAAAGACACTTATATGTGAAATGTAGAGAAATAAAAGGTCAGAAAAATCCAAACCAACAACAAATTCTAGAATTGAAGCTACAAGAGTAGGAGGGGGAAAGAAAAAGAGGGGAACAAAGTAGGGCGGAAGCACAACAGACTATGGTGGAGAAATCTGGGTGTTTTGCTGGTATGTCTGGTATGGAGGGGGAGATCCTTACCTCTAAATCAAAAACAATGTTGTAGACCAATGTTACTTCAATTAAAAATAATTAAATTATAAAATGGATGTTTTATAATTATAAAATTATAAAATGGATTATAAAAAATAATTAAATTATAAAGTATAAAATAATTAAATTATAAAATTATAAAATGGATCTTTTCTATCACATTTATACTGCATCCAGAATAACTAGCATAGTATATCACACATTGAGATATTCAATTATTGGGCCTCCCCTGGTGGCGCAGCGGTTGAGCGCTGAGCTGCGAGGCTGCCCGCAGCCATTGCAGTGCCAGTTCGTTCCCTGGCCGCCAGTGAGGGTCCCATAAAAAAAAAAAAAAAGATATTTAATTATTAAATAAATAAACATGTAAACATATGGCTTGAAGAAAGAAGACTATGCAGTTTTGTATCCAAGATTTGGGGATGGTAAAGTAAAAAATTAGAGATTAGACATATAAACTACTTGATTTGCTCTGGTATCTTGTGCCTTACTGACTTAAAATACAACAAATTCAGTTCTGGAACTTTAAAATCTTCAAGACCATTAGAAAAACACAATGACTGGATAATGACTGCTGCTGAGTCTGCCAACACTGAATAAGAGCACTAACTTATATCTAAGGCATGATAATATAAATGCAAGGATTCATTAATATTTTAAAATTTTGTCAAGAGCTCTGACAAAAAGGACTCAAAATCATAGTTGATAAAAAAACAAAACAAAATATAATGAAATGATTAAGGCAAAACTATTAAAAGCACCAAAATAAGACTCCAGAACTGAACACTTAGGAAAAAGAGAGTGATTATTGTTGATGTGTAAGAACCCAACATAGAACCTGGTAAAAGAAGCACTATGTTACATTGAAGGCACTCATGAGCACACAAGCAACATGTTTTTTAGTTGGTAAGGTCCGTGCTATACATACACATATGGACTTATTAACAGAGACATGTTCTCTGTTAATAAGTCATGTTCTCTGAACTGATTTAGGAGACTCAATACAAAGGCTACCCTTCGCTGAGACTTTATTGTCAAAAGGAGAGATTGAGGAACAAAATTATAATTGACTTGATGCAGCAAAGCAAAAAATAGACCCATGAAAATATTCTGTTTTTAGTAAACTGCTTTTATTATCATAATCAAATGCCTATACTTTTATAAACCTGAGATTCTCTGCTGAAATTTGTAGAAAATTTCTAAGTATCATTTGTAGATAAATGCACAATTAAATATTTATGAATTGCTAGTTTTCTATAAATAAAGCCATTTGAAGATGATCTCACTAGTCATTAAAATTTGAACAGAGATCAAAGCTAGAAAAATATTAACAATTCTTTGAATTTGTATAGTGTTTTACATAAAACTATTAATAATAGATGGCATTTATTGAGCACTTGGAAAGTGCCAGGTATTTTACATGTAAATTCTCACAACCAATTCAGTTCAGTTCAACAAGCATCCACTAAACACCTACTGGGTGATAAATCAATAAGATTTTATTTCTGTCTTTGGCTTTTCTACCTTTAAAAACACTTATTTGGTGTGCTGAAAGTTTGTTGAGTGAATGAATGGATACATGGATGAATAAATTAATTGTGAATGGCACTGTGGAGTAGTAAAAAATTACACATGTTCATCTTCTTACTGTCTGTGACCTTGAGAAAGTACTTAACTTCTCCTAACCTTTCTGTATATATATTTTTTCACATTATTGAAGAACAGCCTGCTACTGGAACAATTATGTTCCATTGATCTATGTGTCTGTTTTATTACAATACCATAGAGCTTTGATTACTATAGCTTTGCAGTACAGTTTGAAGACAGGGAAATGATACTTTCATTTTTGTTCTTTTTTTCCTCAGGACTGCTTTGGCTATTCAAAGTCTTTTGTGGTACCACATAATTTAGATTTTTGGGAGAGTCAATTTCTATGAAGAATGGCAGCAGGGTTTTATATGGATTGCATTAATTTGTATGTTTTGTGTAAAATTAGCCACTATTTCTTCATGCACAATATAAGGATATTTAAATTATCCCTTGCAAAAAATACTGTGAAAACAATGACAACAAATGTAAAACATCTGACAAAGAATGGGTTCTCAACAAATGAAAGTAATGATCATCATAATGATCACTATTATTAAGCAATCCTATCCAATTCTCCTCATCTTCATTATGGCAATGGGACAAACAGAACTTTAACACCCACAAATGCTTGCAACAACTATGCAAAACAGCACACACACAACAAGCAAACCAAGGGAAATGTACTGAACCGTAGTTCCCAAGATCCTCCTAGGTTACTATACAACATCTATGTTCAGACTAAAAAAAGAGTCAAATTTAATTATGCTTCCAAGGATACCATGATAAGAGGCAAATAGGGCAGAAAGTTTACCAAACAACAGACTGCACCTTTCACATAATGCTGGTCACTCCAGTGATGCTCCCAGTCCCAACAACTGCAAAGAACAGTATCTGGAGCCCAGAGAATCCACAAATTCATGCTATTCTTCTTAGTGCCAGTGAGGCTAAGCCCTAGACATTCAGTGGAGCCCTGGGTCAAATTCTCCAGCAATAGAGGGTTTCCATTCTGTGGATCACTTACCATTTCGGTCTGCTGGTAGATTTCACCATAGGGGCCATCCCATCTCTATAAAGACTCTTTGTTTTGCTGAAGTTAACAATGTTGAAAATGACTCTCTGAAAAAGGAAGAGAGAATTTTATCAGAAAACTTTATTGTGCAATTTGCCACTTCTTTATAATTAGGATTGGAATTAATAAACATGGTTAAAGGAAGTCATATGGACTAGCCACAACAGTCTAATGAGGATAGATGGTGCCTACAGAAATTCAGTGTGTTTGTTCCAGCTTAGCAAAGTCATTAAGAGCACTGATTCTAGAACCCAGAAGTTTGTGTTTTAACCCTACTATATCACTCTCAAGCTGTGTGACTTTGCCAAGCTATTAAACCCTCCTGTGCTTCAATTTTCTCATTTGAAAATGGGAATAATAACAGTACCTAGGAATACTGATGAAAATTAAATACATTAATAAATGTACAGTGTTTGGACCCATATTAGGTACACAGCGAAAGCTAAATGCACATGTTTTAGTTGTTACTAACTATGCCCTGTCCCTAGAATTTACATAGGCATAAGTAATATCGTTTCAGTATGTTTTATATTTGTTGTAGTGCATCTCAAGTTCAACAAAACTAAAGAAAATAACAGAGCACAAAATTGAACCGAAAAAATTCTGCAACTCCTTTGTACCCCTTGGATTAGAACTTGGATTAGAACTTGGATTAGATACGTGCCACTGCTAGGAATCAGGACTACTAGGCTCAACTCTAATCTCAGCATCAATTTATAGGGGCATAGCTACCTGGGTAAGTCCCTTCCCTGTTCAGTCTCACCCTTAAAATGGGGGAGTGGGGAGTTGTTCATGACTACAGCCTTTTCACAGATCTAGAATACTACAGTAGTACAGCTAACATATCAGAATTCTGTTGAGGAAACAACTTTCTCATAAGTGAAGAGGAAAGATTGAGAAAGAGAAGGGATCAGGGTTAAAAAAAAAAACACTAAATGGCCACTGAAACGTTATAAAGGAGAGAGAATGAGGCCAGAAGTTGGAGAACAGGAAACTTTCAAGAGATTAGCACAGCCTAGCTTTTGTATCCAGAGGCAGTAAAGAGAGGGAAGCATCAAATGTGTTATTTCATTGAACACACATCATATATATACACACACATACATATATATAATCATATATAGATAGATAGTATCACAATACATAATATCAAGTACTAGGAATTTAATAGTTTTTAGAATTTGCAGTATTCTCTTACAACTAATAAGATCATTAATATTTCCACTTTATATATGTGGAAACTGAGGATCAGAGAGTTTAACTAACTTTCCAAAGGCATACAATTGCTGGATGGAGAGTTGATATTTGAATATAGGGAATAAAAAATTTAAGATGTCTATGGTCTCTACCCTAAGGTTCCAAAATTCTATAAATCTAACCAAGTCTGTCTTCAAAAATAAGGGCAAAAATAAATATGATAGTAATTTTTCAAGCCTTTATAAATTTGTTTTCTTAAAATGGGAAAATCAAACTCTGTCTGGCCTTTATTTTGAAATACCACAAAATGTTTTTTTTTTTTCTATGAAATAAGCTCTCAAGAATAACATGTGTTTTTTTTTCCTCTCCAGAATTCCAGCTATTGATCCCATCTCCAGTCACTTCAGTTTCAAATCTCCCTTCTATCATTATATTAAGTGATCAAGAATGTCCAAGGCTGGTCCATTATTAATAACCTGGACCTTCCTGTTGTCAGTTCAATTACTTCTCGTGGGTTCCTGGCTACCATTTGATTTAAGAAAATCAATAAAAGGGGACAAATGTCTTTTGATCCTCACAGGGCTTAATCCCCTCTTTTTCTTCTGATATTCTAGGTGTCAGATCCATTTCCAGTGGACCTGGAAGTCAAACTGCACTTTCAGTATCTAGATTAATTCTAAAAACTGGGGGAAATCTCATATAGAAACAATGTGTATATGTGAAGTTGAAATAAAGAAATGCAAAATTAAAACAGTTATTGATCATTAATATTCTGCTAAGTGCCAGGAAAATTTCCCAGGAGCTTTAAATATGCTATATTTAGCTTCTTCATTCACAAACAAAAGTTATCTATTTGTCTGTTTTAGCCCAACTTTAAACATGAGAAAACTGAGGTTAATAAATACTGAGCAAAATACCATAACTACTTAACTGGTATAATTAAGACTTAAATCTTAGCTGCTCTGATCATAACAATCATACTTTAGCTATGATACTACATTCTTTTTGCATTCCCTATACATGTACTTCCCCACCCACCCTGTATTTTACAGTCTATTTAGCAAGGCAGAATGTGGTTGTGTGAATCATAGGTATGCAGAAGAAGGAGTACAGGAAATCTTGTGTCTTCATAGTTTACAATTATTTATCAGTTATTTACTCAAAATGCAACACGAGAAATGATATCCATCAGGTCATAGTAACACCAACAATAATAACATATTCTGAGCAATTTCTATGTACCAAATTTTGAGTTAAACACCTATTGGTAGTATTTTAGTGTTTTATATATTAGAATCACATGGATCGCCTTTAAAAATCACTGATGCTCAGGTCTCAGCATAATCAAAGACTTTGCTACTTGATGCATTATTTCATTTGTTCTGCGGATAATGAACTTTTGCTGACAGAGACTGTTTATTACCTCTTACTCATATATAAGCTAGTGATAATAAGATTAATTAAGTTAAAATCACATAAGCAATAAGTAGTGGAGGCAGAATTTTAAACAAATCCCTTGAATCAAGACAGTAAGATGATGGACTTTCTAGACAAATACACACTTGGAGCTGAAACCCAGCTCCCCATTAGTTCTATAAACTTAAGCTAAACAATCTGGGAGATTATACACATAAATCACCTGACACATTATATCTAGCCCAAAATAGGAGTTCCATATTTATTGACACTTTCCTCCTATCTCAACAAACCCACGTCTTTTAATTCATTACAGTCTCTTCCTTCCTTTTTTTCTTTATATTTCTATTATTTCTTCTTTAGATTTAAATTTTAATACATAATTCCTGTTTAAGCAATATGGTACTCTAGTTAACAGCTTTCAAAACAGTGATCTACATCACACTATTATGTTGAATGTGGGTTAAAGCTATCAAGACAGTCATGTGTGAAGTTAGGACCAATGGGCTCAGAGCGCAATGAAGGAGGTACAACATCCATTCCAGGTGTTGGCCAACGAGTGGTCCAGTTTGGCTCAAGGGTATATGAGAAGTCTACATACAGTCTCAAGCAGTGACCTCCATTCATCCCACATATTCAACACTTGTCCAATCATGAGTCCAATACACTATTCTAAATAGCAGGAACTGTTCAAAATAGGTATATACATTCTGAAACTAGAAGGCATCATTAATCTAAAATATTTTGTTTTAAGTGTTCTGTGAACACCTGAATACCACAGCACATTTAAGAACATTCTTTACATGAAACTTCCCAATAAAGTGAAATATATAGAAGCCAGAAAAACATAGGAGTACATAGGCAGATTACCAGTATTGTTACCTAAGAACTTAAATTTTAAGATCTATGCAAAAATAACAAATAACCAGGATGAGGCAGAATATTTGAAATGAGATATGTTCAAATATCTAGGACCCTCAAAATGATGTATTAGTAAAACTGTGGTCTAGAAAGAAATCATTCACTAGCGATGGAATGTACCTATCTATTCCTAGATTTTGACTGGGAAAAAAATTAACATGTGCTAGAAAATTTTTCAGTTTGGGTTTGAATTTATTCTACTAGCTTGGTCTTAAAAACACAAGTTAAGTATTTAAAATGACTAAAGAGAGAGGGACTTTGCTGTACCTATATGCTATATTTATCAAGATCAGTAAAGAAAGCAAAAACTAAAGGATAACAAAATGTTGACAGCTGCTTCATCTTAGTGGTGGATATTTGATTGTTTCTTATTTTAATTTTAATACGTATTTGAAAATTTTCCCTAATTTAAAATTCAAAAGATTAAATATCTTTAATTCATTAGGAATTTTGGTATCATATATTAAGAAGTGACAATTTTTTTTTCAAACTGTTAGACGATTTTTCCAACTTCATATTAGACAAGTCATCCCTATCCTTTCTAATCTCAAATGCTACCATTTCCATAAAATAAATTTGTATATGCTTGAGTTTATTTCTGGACTTCCATTTATGTTTCACTGATCTGTTTATTCTAGTGACAACCAGTCATTGCCTTGATAATTATGGTTTTCTGATAAGTTTCAGCTTTCATTAGAGCAAATTTCTAGTCAATGTTCTCCTTTTACCATTTCATATGACTTCAAAACAGTGACTTTTTTTATTGCTTTTTCTTTTTTTTTGGTTACTTTCTTTCATGATTCATTTTGTTTATGCCTCCCACAATTAAAAAAATGTTATGTTTTACAATTCCTTGAAATCTTTCTGATGCTTTTCTTTCTTTAGTAATTTGCAAGTCATTCATCCTAGTTATATTCTGCTAGTAGTTAAATTTAAATTTAAAAATGAAGTTGATTCAAGTTAGGCATGAATAGTTTCCATAAGTGTTTTCAGTAACTCCTTTTGAGACAACCACTTCACTTATTACTGACCTATTCTGATATTAAGGAGAGGTACATAACACAATAGAAGAAAGTTGCTTAGTGTATGTCTGATTACATGTTCCAGGTATAGGCTGCTACTATGTAGCCAATTTAGTGTGATTTGGGCAGAATGACACAGAAGTTTAGGTGAATTTGCCTTACTGTCATGACATATCAAAAGTTATGTAGGTAAACGGGAGCTGAGTTGGTCATAAATTCTAGGTTTCTGTTTATTCAACCAATCAGATCATTTTCTTCAGGGCCATATTCCATGTTTTAATTGCCTATTTTGAGTCCAGCCTGAAGCCTAGCAATGGTGAAAAGAAAAACTGGAGTTTCAAACCTGCTTCTCTCTGTGGAACTTGACCATATTTTATCATTTTTCTGAGTCTTGCTTGCTTTATCTGTAAAAAGGAAAATTATAGATATGGTAGAGTTTTGTTAGATAAATATAATTGTCAAGAAAATGTCACTGGGTGATTAATAAATGA